CCCTAAGCCCTAAACCCCTAAGACCTAAACAAAGGGTCTAAGATGGTTTTCATTGTGTTTTGCCGCGGCCTGGTGACTGCTTGCAAAGGCCAACGCCCCTTCATGTACAACTTGCGGGGTAGGGGGACTTAGTAATTGTGGGTTTAGGGTTTAGGAGACTTAGTAACTATAGTGTTATATTATAGACTTATATAGTACCATAACCCCAATTAGGATGCCTCTTAAGCTACCGATAACTCTACTTAATCTCTACTTACTATGTGCCCTGACCCTCCAAGACTGGTCTTAGGGATTCCCTTTTTGGCGTCTTCCGGACTTCCCGGGCTTTATAGAGATGATTAGAGCCTCCCTTAACTCTGAACCCTAAACCCTAAACCCTAGAGCCTTGACACATTTTACAGAATTGACGGTGCTTTGTCGGGTGTTAAAGGGTTTAGGATTTAGCGTTTAGGGTTGGTCCTTCGAGGTTTAGTGTTAGAGCTTTGGGACATTACGGCAAACCCATGCGTCAGAGCCCTTAATAACAGGTCAGCTTTGCCAATCATGACGAACTGCAAACACTAAAAAAAGTGAGCTTAGTAATTAGAATAGGCTTTGGGGCCCCTGGTACCATAAATATAATAAGGAACCCCCCCCCAAAAAAAATACATAGTTTTGGTAATTCTTTAGGCCCGTACGTTATAAAAGGATCAAGGGGACAATTAGCCTCGTCAGGTTTATACAGACTTTATGCAGCTTAGGGTTGTTTTCAAAAGGGCGTCAGGGTTCCTGTGGTTTCGAGGGAAACCTGAAACCCAAATCGCAACAAGGGCTTAGAACATAAACTTATGCAAATCCGAACAGATGCCCTGCTTCGATTCAGTAGTTTGGAACCCGGGCTGCCTGGATGGCAGTCATCGTGTGCGTCTTGCCGCTGCCTGTCTGCCCGAACATGAACATCGTGCCCACGCCGCCCACGCCTGGGCAGGTTCTGCAAACTCAGGGTCCCTGCACCCTACACTTACCGCTAGGTTAAACAAAGTTGAACCACAGTCTAAACCCGACAAATTGAAGTTTCCTTCGTCAGTCAACATGACAGCCTCTGTCAGTAAGCATCCTCACAATAGGGGTACTTTAGTTTAGTGTATATCAGAAAGCGTGATACTTTCATTGTAGTTCCGGGTTTAGGGTGTAGAGTTTAGGAGTTTTTAGCTTGGGGGGTTAGGGTTTCGGATTTAGGGCTTAGGGTGTCTGGTTTAGGTTTAGGATGTAAGGGCTGTAAGGTTACTTTGTAGGGTCCTGATTGACAACCGCCCTCCTCAAATAAGCACTAAAATTCACTATGACGGACATCTTTTTCTTGCGGGCCTTGGAGGAGTCACTAATCAACACCCAGGCCCGAAACGCAAAAACGAAACCCGGAATCCGTCGTCAACATGATCTTAGGCATTCTACTACGCTACATGGGGAGATCTCAGCAATCTGGGGGTGCCTTAATTCCAAGTTCCTGCAACTAGGGTCTTACTACTGAGTCACTGAGGGTCTATACTAGAAGAGTCCCCTACCCTAAGGCCCTAAGCTACATCCTAAAATCTAAATCTCCAAATCCCAAACCTCGGTACTTTTGGGCGTATAGCAGGGTCCCCTATTATCCCTATTTTCTGAGACTCCCGTATGCTCCTCGACTGATGAGCTTAGGGCTCACGGCTTTGAATGCCTTCTTTGTGGCTTCATGGCGTCGTAGGTCTGGTTTTATGCTAAACCCTGAACCAATAAACAAGCCTTAGTGACCAGACTGGGGCGTTTGGGCTTCGGGTTTGGGGACCTTAATCACTGGACTGGGGTTTGGGGGTGCAGCGTAGTACGTGTGTAATTGGGAACCATAATTATAAGGAGCCGTATTGTAGACCACCGAGACCTCTACGAGTGTGTGCTGCGCTCTGCTAAATTACTAAGCCCCAAACCCCCTACTAGACCAGACACACCCTGTAAGTATTGCTAAGCAGCATAAACAAAAACCTGAAATTGTGTAAACCCTACCTGTGGCCCAAAAGACCTAGCTTTCTAAGGACCTACATACAGAAACCAGACTAAAGAACCCTAATAAAGTAGGTCTTTTCGGCCACTAAGACCTATAAGCCCCAAACCCTAAA